TGAGAGTCAGTTGGTACTACATTACTATAATATTGAAGGTTAAAAACTGACTGATTTTTTTAGGCTTGAATTGCTTAAATTACACTTAATGAAGTTTTATAATAAAAGTTACAATTACATAATATTTCTACTTCAATTCATTTTTTTATATAAACATTTAAATGGTGGCTGTCATAAAAAAATATAAATGAAACATCGAAGAACAGTAAAAGTTATAATGAATATATTATATGGTGCATATATTTAGCAAAATGCCCCTTTCTACAGTTTATTTTTCTGGCTGACTAATAAGTTTATGGTCACAGAATATGTTTGTTTCTGAGGTAAATGTGACGTTACGTGACATTGTTTACAAGCCGTTATATTGACATCTTTGCGCGGCTGAAACACTGACTGAGCGATTACACGAGACAGGATACGGATTGTAAAGTTGTACTCTTTGTTTTAACTTTCGGATGCTTAATCATGTTTATTTTGTGCTATAACTAGTAATAAAGTGGAGGAGATGATCTGTTCACTGAGGCGCTACAGTGATCTGTCACTCCACATTAAACAGCGCCGAAACGGCATTTATTGCTTGAATACTGCAATACAATGGACATAATTTGAAATCTGAGACTTTGTTTCATATTAAAAGTACCAAAGCACAATGCTTATTGCGATTTATTGGATGGGAGGCGCCCTTCAACGTTCCGTCCATTAACTGAAAACAGGCTAGACTAATCGATTCTTGGGATTTAAGAATCGATATAGTTTCGTAAAAATGTGAATCGATTAAAATCGTGATATCGATATGTTTTACCCAGCCCTAGTAACTAATGTTAAAATATTTAATGTCAAATAAATTACATTTCAGAAACTTAAAATGTTCGATTTTGTAAATTTTTTTCTTTTTTTTCATAAATAGTGGTAATTGTGATAAAATGGTGATTTTAAAAGTATCAGCTGTATGCAAAGTGACCCACATTTAGTTTTTGACTACTGAAAATGTTTCATCTTACTCGTGGAGCCACACCGAGATCCCCATATCTTTGAAACTGAACCATAGTGTGGCTTAAAAATGAAGATACCAACAGACAAGTTTAAGAACCAGTTTCTAAAAGGATATTAAATAATATTTAATACTTCTTGAGTTACAAACATGTTTTCAACACACAAAAGGTTTTTTTTT